AAACATGTCTCTTACCCTTTTAAGCGTTTTTCTTCTCTTCTTTCCCACTATAGCTAGTTCAAGCCCACCCAAAGCTTCGAGACCAATCAAGCTTCACGGCTTCCCATTAATTGGCCATTGAATCAGTTTTTCGGACCCGTTATTGTTCGAGCACCTTGTGCTTCACGTCATAGAGGGCAGCATTTACATGGCTATGCGGCTGCTTCGAAGCTGCTTCACTGCTCCTTTTCTCTTTCCAGGAAATAGAGCAGCAAAAGCGCTGCTCTGCCCCGGCAAAATGAAATTATGCACATCTGGGAGCTGGATTGGGTGATGATGCGCTCTAGCACTATCCTCTCTTCGGTTTTCTTTTGTTCTAGTGCGCTGCTTGGGCAAATGTGCACTCTCCTTTATCACAGGAAAATTTTTCTTTCTAGGCGGAAGATTCAAAAATTAAACGATCTCAAGTCTTGTATATCGTTATGACGCAACATTGATATTATATCTTTGATAATTTGAAAGAAGTAGACATCTTTCTTTCTAAATCTCGGTTTTGGCAGTTGCTTACTTTTTCACTGACTTACTTCTTGAGCGCCACATTCATGTATTTTGTGGATAAGTAAATTAATTAATCAATTAATCAATTAAAATAGAGGATTTTCTTAACTTTTGTATACTGTCTGATAGTCCCGCGCAAGCAAAGAGTACTTGATTCAGTTTCCGCTTTTCTCTTATTCCCGCTCAAACATTTCCAAAACTTTCAGATGCGTCTATTTCAATTTTTTCTTTCATAAATGAAAAATCTTCAAAGGAAACCAATACCAGAAAAGGTGGATTGTACAGTAATTTCTTATAAAACTCTGATTCTTTTTAAATAATCCGATCCACCAGCGCTCTGCGAATAAAAATCTTGAGAATATAGTCAAGATGTTCATATACTATTCAATAAGAAAATCTTGTCATACCTAATCGGGTCAGCTCCCTCTCCCTCCTCCTCTATTCATTCTTTCTTCCCACTTCTAAAGCTCTTCTGTCAACTCTAGAGCATTCTTTGATTATAAAGAAAGCTTCTTATTTTCTCATTCGGCACCGCTCAGTACAGTATGTTGTGGCTCCAGTTTTTTGCCATTTCCATTGAATTTTGAAATCTCAGCTGTTCTTACACTTTTGGGAAATGGCTACCTAATTGTCTTGGCCTCTATTGTAGGCAATTTTCAAAAGCATGTATATAAATATATTTCTTTCAGTCGTGGATGGACACGGAGCATCGGGTAATACTAAATGTAGGCGGCATTCGACATGAAACCTATACGCATGTGCTCAAGAAAATCCCGGCTACAAGATTATCCAGGTGGGTTTGAATTAGTTTGTACAAAGTTGAAGTTACAAACTTAAGAATATTTGGCTCTTTCCGCCTTCCCTTCCCAATTTTGTACTTTTGTTCTTTCTACAATCGCTATTTTTTCAGGTTAACTCCAAATTTAGCCAACTACGACCCGGTGCTCAACGAGTATTTCTTTGATCGTCATCCTGGTGTCTTTTCTATGATTTTGAACTATTATAGGACAGGTAGGTATTGCATTAGATTACGGTAAAGCAATTTATGGTCTAACTGCGCGCTATGCACAATTTCATCGTAAAATACCA